GGTCTCGATGGATTAGAAATAGAGTGGCCATCAACGTGACATACCCAAAATGTTCATAGGTGGCGCCACTCTAGCGGACGCGGCATTTAAAGTCAGCTGTTTGTACGCAGGCCAACGGGTAGAGTGAAAATGAGTAAAAAATGACAATTTTAAAATTACGAAAACTCGGAAAAAACTTACCGAACTGAGCCAAATTTGTTTTTTAATTGAATAAGTAACGTTTGAACTACTTGTTTTGTAATGGGAAATGTTCGAAGCTAATCTGGTACTTTTGTTATTTGATGTTAAATTTTGTCTTAAAAAATATGTAACTTTTCATTAAAAACTTGTTTTTAAAAAGCTATACAAAGTGAGTCCCACCTAGTCCCACCTTGAGACCTATTGGGATTTGTAGGGAATTGCATACTTGTTCATTTGCATATAGTGAGAAATGCCACTTTTGACCACATTTCTTGGAATTTGCCTTAAAAGATCACCAAATTTTGTATGAATATTATTTTTTGTATGATTCTTTTAATGAAAACTATGGTAATTCGTTAACCGATTTTGATAAAATTTTGTGAATTTAGTTAAAATTACATTATTTTTATGTAACCGAAGTTTTATGAATTTATCTCAAAAAATTTTTTTATCGTTCCTATGACAGCTATAGGATATAGTTGTCTGATCCGGACAATTTTTGTTCAGTATCATCCTATAAGTATTAAATTACGATTGGTAAAGTTTCAAGTCGATATCTTTTAAATTACCGGAGTTATTAATTTTGGCCACAAAAAGTGGTCCGCTGGACCATAGTGCGATCGTAAGTAAGTACCGCGTGTCATCAATAGGTCACTGTCATCAACATGTCATCAACGCGCCGACTGCGACTTCAACCGAGGCGACGCTCTGCCGACTGCGACTTCTACCGAGTCGACCCTCTGCCGATTGCGACTTTTCCTACGACGCTCTGCCCACGATACAGTTACGGCGGTAGTCTAGACGGCAGTCGTCGGCAGTACCATGGCCCTGCCGTTGAGAAATTTGTTGATGAAACATCGATCATCGATTGATGATGAGTTGTTGATCATCGATCATCGATTTATTGTTGATGAATTTTAATTGATGACAGCCTAGGACATGCCCATGTTAAATAAGTTAACAGTTTGTATGGGCTGTCATCGATGAAAAATCAACAGTACTCCCTTGACTGTTGATGAAACGTTGATTTTTTGTTGATGACAGGTACTGCAGGTTATACTATAAATATATATATATATATATATATATATATATACTATGAAATAAATGCATTGATCATAGCTCAAAGAAGCTGGGGTCGGAAAAATTTTTTTTTGAAATTTGAAAGCTGGAATCGTTTGCCCATGTTTGCCCACCTTTTACTTTTTTTTGCCCACGTCCAGTTTTGAAAATATTCGACTTTGAAAATTTTCATCATTTTTCGAAAAACCAAAAGTTGACTTTTTTCAAAATTTTTTTTTGGAAATCGCAATAACATCGTTTGCCCACGTTTGCCCACCCTTTAGAATTTTGAAAAAACTTCAAGTTTAGAAAATTTTCAAAATTGTACTGGAAAATTTTGAATTTTGAAAATTTGAAAACTGGAATCGTTTGCCCATTTGTTGCCCATGTTTGCCCACCCTTTACTTTTTTTGGCTTACGTCCAGTTTTGAAAATATTCAACTTTGAAAATTTTTCAAAATTTTATCGTTTGCCCACCCTCTAAAACTAAACATTTTGAACAAAAAACGTTTGCCCACCTCTTAAAACTAAATAAAATCGTTTGCCCACCCCCTTAAATTAAATATTTTTAACAAAAAACGATTGCCCACCTCTTAAAACTGAATAAAATCGTTTGCCCACCCTTTAAAATTAAAAAATTTCGTTTGCCCACCCCTTAAAATTAAATATTTTTAACAAAAAACAATTGCCCACCTCTTAAAACTAAATAAAATCGTTTGCCCACCCTTTAAAATTAAAAAATTTCGTTTGCCCACCCTCTAAAACTAAACATTTTGAACAAAAAACGTTTGCCCACCTCTTAAAACTAAATAAAATCGTTTGCCCACCCTTTAAAATTAAAAAATTCGTTTGCCCACCCCTTAAAATTAAATATTTTTAACAAAAAACGATTGCCCACCTCTTAAAACTAAATAAAATCGTTTGCCCACCCTTTAAAATTAAAAAATTTCGTTTGCCCACCCCTTAAAATTAAATATTTTTAACAAAAAACGATTGCCCACCTCTTAAAACTAAATAAAATCGTTTGCCCACCCCTTAATTTTAAGTATTTGAATTAAAAACGTTTGCCCATGTCTTAAAATTAAATATTTTCGTTTGCCCACCCTTTAATTTTAAGTATTTATATTAAAAAACGTTTGCCCATCTCTAAATATTAAATAATATCACTTGATGTGTTATGTTTACAATTGTTAAATCCGTAATATCGGTTGCAGAAAGTACTTGTTACGAAAAAAAAAACAAATATTACAAAATTATTATAAAATCTGGTTTGGAAATGGTTCAAATTGCTACGTATAAATTCCGTTTTTTAATTTTGCATTAAACATACCAGCTATTGCCGAAAAACATCTAACGACAGGTGCCAGGACAAAAAAAACCACTACTGCCGCAAACATGTTGCAGACAGAGTGGCGGCCATACCATATAAGTCGTTGTTGCAGAATTGTGGTCCCGGAACATTACGATTTCTACCGCCTATCTGACGCCAAAATTTCAGTGGAATTGTTCTTATAAAGTTTCACGCATGAATGATCGCAACCGACAGTCGTCTGGGAAGACTTCATGTGGCGCCTTTACGTCTATTATTTAGTAGTATTTACATATATAGATCCCTGTATTCTAATATGCAGATATTCCCATCTTTATACATGGCGCCAGCAAGTCCTTGCCTCAGGTAGTCCCACATTTTGTATGGTCTGGCATACGCAGGCAGAGGCGCCACATGAAGTCTTCCCAGACGACTGTCGGTTGCGATCATTCATGCGTGAAACTTTATAAGAACAATTCCACTGAAATTTTGGCGTCAGATAGGCGGTAGAAATCGTAATGTTCCGGGATCACAATTCTGCAACAACGACTTATATGGTATGGCCGCCACTCTGTCTGCAACATGTTTGCGGCAGTAGTGGTTTTTTTTGTCCTGGCACCTGTCGTTAGATGTTTTTCGGCAATAGCTGGTATGTTTAATGCAAAATTAAAAAACGGAATTTATACGTAGCAATTTGAACCATTTTCAAACCAGATTTTATAATAATTTTGTAATATTTGTTTTTTTTTTCGTAACAAGTACTTTCTGCAACCGATATTACGGATTTAACAATTGTAAACATAACACATCAAGTGATATTATTTAATATTTAGAGATGGGCAAACGTTTTTTAATATAAATACTTAAAATTAAAGGGTGGGCAAACGAAAATATTTAATTTTAAGACATGGGCAAACGTTTTTAATTCAAATACTTAAAATTAAGGGGTGGGCAAACGATTTTATTTAGTTTTAAGAGGTGGGCAATCGTTTTTTGTTAAAAATATTTAATTTTAAGGGGTGGGCAAACGAAATTTTTTAATTTTAAAGGGTGGGCAAACGATTTTATTTAGTTTTAAGAGGTGGGCAATCGTTTTTTGTTAAAAATATTTAATTTTAAGGGGTGGGCAAACGAAATTTTTTAATTTTAAAGGGTGGGCAAACGATTTTATTTAGTTTTAAGAGGTGGGCAATTGTTTTTTGTTAAAATATTTAATTTTAAGGGGTGGGCAAACGAAATTTTTAATTTTAAAGGTGGGCAAACGATTTTTTATTTTAAGAGGTGGCAACGTTTTTTGTTCAATTTTTTTAAGGGTGGGCAAACGAAATTTTTTAATTTTAAAGTTTTAAGAGGTGGGCAATTGTTTTTTGTTAAAAATATTTAATTTTAAGGGGTGGGCAAACGAAATTTTTTAATTTTAAAGGGTGGGCAAACGATTTTATTTAGTTTTAAGAGGTGGGCAAACGTTTTTTGTTCAAAATGTTTAGTTTTAGAGGGTGGGCAAACGAAATTTTTTAATTTTAAAGGGTGGGCAAACGATTTTATTTAGTTTTAAGAGGTGGGCAATTGTTTTTTGTTAAAAATATTTAATTTTAAGGGGTGGGCAAACGAAATTTTTTAATTTTAAAGGGTGGGCAAACGATTTTATTCAGTTTTAAGAGGTGGGCAATCGTTTTTTGTTAAATATATTTAATTTTAGGGGGTGGGCAAACGATTTTATTTAGTTTTAAGAGGTGGGCAAACGTTTTTTGTTCAAAATGTTTAGTTTTAGAGGGTGGGCAAACGTTAAAATTTTGAAAAATTTTCAAAGTTGAATATTTTCAAAACTGGACGTAAGCCAAAAAAAGTAAAGAGTGGGCAAACATGGGCAACAAATGGGCAAACGATTCCAGTTTTCAAATTTTCAAAATTCAAAATTTTCCAGTACAATTTTGAAAATTTTCTAAACTTGAAGTTTTTTCAAAATTCTAAAGGGTGGGCAAACGTGGGCAAACGATGTTATTGCGATTTCCAAAAAAAAATTTTGAAAAAAGTCAACTTTTGGTTTTTCGAAAAATGATGAAAATTTTCAAAGTCGAATATTTTCAAAACTGGACGTGGGCAAAAAAAAGTAAAAGGTGGGCAAACATGGGCAAACGAAGGGCAAACGATTCCAGCTTTCAAATTTCAAAACAAAAATTTTTTCGACCCCAGCTTCTTTGAGCTATTGATCATCATTGTTTTTTGAGAGAAATATAAATAATTTATATTGTATTAATTCCTAGTGATTGAAGTTCTATCTACAAAGGTATAAAAACTTCGGCGTACCGAAGTAGGCTTTCTTTCTAGTTCTGTCATAGGAACGATAGGCAAATATATATATAAATATAATAAAACCCTCTTTAGTATTGTTGACTCGACAATAACATAAACGTTTATTTAATTATTATCATATTTTGTATATTTTTAGCAAGTGCTCATACTGGTGATCAAACAGTTGATGAATATCCGGATATAAGCGGTATATGTACAGCTAGAGTAAGTGATAATGTAAATTAAAAATCATATCAGCGCCTACAAAATTGTATTTTAGGAAGCCATGCGAAAAATGACGGAAGAAGACAAGCAGAAAATTGCTCAACAGGTTGAATTGTTTCGCAGAGAGAAACTAACGTTTGATTCTGAAGTAGCTAAATGGGATGATACTGGAAATGACATTATTTTCCTAGCCAAACATATGTGTATGATTATGATGGAGATGACTGACTTTACCAGGTAGAAATATATTATTTTAACATTTTAAGTATTTCAGTTTCTACCGTCGTAGAATGGGGAAGCATATTAGAAGAAAATTGAGTATGTAGAATAAAAAGAGTCGGGTGTTGTCCATGCCTAAAACGATCAAAACTAAACGATACATGCCAATTTGTTATAATGGTATTTAAACAATTTTGATACCCTTGTAGTATAATTTTAGTCAGAAGCGTGCAACGCAGCAAAGGAGGCACCTTTGACTATATAAAGTATATATGTTCTTGATCAGCATCAACAGCCGGGTTGATCTAGCTATGTCCGTCTGTCCTTCTTTCCGTTTTTCGCACACTAGTCTCTCAGTTTTGAAGCTATCTGAGTGTAACTTTGTAGTTAGTCTTCTATATACTCTCACTCGAATATATGTCGGAACGGGCCGGATGTGTAAAATTTTATGAAAATCGGACTACTATATTAAATAGCTCCCATAGGAACGATCGAGAAATTAATACAATTAAAAATTATAACTTTTTTAGTTTTCAACAGATTTTGATCAGATTTGAGATATAGTCTATAGTCTAGTATATCAGTCTTACATTTTGTGGCACGATTATAACATATAGGTGCCATACAAACGATCGTTAGATGAAGAGGAAAGAGGAAAATTTCATGTAAATCTTATGAAAATCTTATATCATATAGGTGCCATACAAACGATCGATAGATGTAGAGGAAAAAAGCAAATCTGTGAATGCAAAACTGTTAATATATTATGTATAGGTGAATGAAAAGAAAGCAGGTATTACATCATTGTTCTAGTCCTTGAAGCTCTATATGCAAGGGTATAGAAACTTCGGAGTGCAGAAGTTAGCTTCCTTTCTTGTTTTTTAACCTAAATATATATAATTTATATTGTCTGGATTCCAAGTCATCGAAGTTCCATCTGCAACGGTATATAAACTTCGGCGTGCCGAAGTTAGCTTCCTTTCTTGTTTGTTATAAAATCAAAGACACGAAACGCCTAAAAAAACAAAAAGAACTTGTCAAAAGACAAAAAAGCATTCTGTCAGACTGCCAGAATCCACAGGTAAATTTTGATACCTATAGGGGCGTTTACTTATTGTATTTATTATGTGTGTCCCATGGGTTCAATTTATTGGATATATAAAAAATTTTTTTTGAATATGCTGAAAAAGTATGTGATCTGATTTTACAAATTTTTCAGTCCCCTTCTTTTACTAATGCTAAAGTTTTAAGTCTCAAAAATTAGTTTAGCAATTTTGACGTATACCTTGAGGAACAATTCTTTCCCGCTTTCACTTTTTAAGGGCATCAAACAGAATAGTTCTGAACATTTTAAGATTTTTTGAAACCGTCACATAGGTAACTCGCTTGCAGCAGTAGTTTTGTAAAAATATACTTAAAACAAGTCTTTAAGTCGTGATTTCAAGCGTTTTAAAACGGATTCAAAATAAAGGATACCTAAATACATTTTTTATACAGTTTCTATATACCAACTGAATAGATGTATTTTACTTCTTAGGTTTGAAACTTTGTATTTTTATAACAACGACCCCAATTAAAGAGAAATAAATACAAATTTTTCTGTTTTGGTATACCCTTGGTGTGTAATATAAATACTTATGTAACTATTTATATAGAAAACTTGTTCATTTGTACAATTTATTTATCACTTAAGCTAGGAACACACGATGTAAACAATTTGTAGCAAGTTGAAAATAATTTGCAGCAAAAGTTTGCACAAATGTTTACGCCTATGCAAATATTGCAAGAAAATTTCTTGCTCCAATAAATTTCTGTTTTGCACGCAAACTTTCGCATGGCTATTTCGTGCAATATATTGCGTTAATATCTACACGTCTTTATTTTTTGTTTGCAGTGCTTGCAAGTGACGCTCATTTGCAAGTTCTGTTGTTTTATGAAAGTCAAGGAATAACGACGTGTTAAAATTATGTCGGCACAAAAATCGAGAGTTGCTGCTGTTGCTATATTAGCAACTTTAATTAAACGTAAAAAAGTGAGAAGATTAAAATCTGCAAAAAATAGGAAGTGTTGGGTGAAAGAGTGGATTTCGAAAAGAGATGAAAAAGGAGTGCATCAGAACCTTTTAAAAGAGCTACAAAATGGCATTGAAACAAACTTTTACAATTCGCATGTCAGTCAGTGACTTCAACTTTTTATTAGAAAAAGTAAAAAACTACATAACAAGACACTGTAATGCGTCCTGCGATTCCACCAAATGAGCGATTAGCCCTGACATTGCGTTTTTTAGCCACGGAATGATTCTTGTACAATTTAATAAATCTTATTGTGTTCTTGCGATCCCACATGGTGCTTTGCTTGCTACAATACTGCGACTGATAGCAAACAGAACATGCAAACAAGCAAGCAACTGACGCAACCAAGATAGCGGTAAAAAAATGTACATATACAGGCGGCAAGCAATATATATTGCTGAAAAAATCTTTGCAAGTTCTTTTTTTGCAGCAAAATTTTTTCACTCGTGTTTACGTGCAAATTTGATTGCAGCAATCAACTTGCTGCAAATTGTTTGCATCGTGTGTACCTAGTTTAAGAAATGTTGAAAAACTTTCCTGATACATCGTTGGGGCCTCAACAGATGTTGACAACTCACTTTTAACGTATACATTAAGATTACAATAGCATTAAATTACATTATACGTGCTTTGGGAGCAGTAGACCGATCGATGAAGGATTTAAGAGGTGATTCGTGATTATATGGTGTGGGTTTGAAATTCCTCTCCGGATATTTTCGCCATCCCGAAATCTACGGTTGCCGTTCAGGTTAATGCTCTGAATGCTCTGCTTCTGAATTCTCGAGACAACTGTTGGCACTTGGCAATGGCAATATTTCTGTTAATGATTCGATTCGTTACCGGTAAATTTTTGCAAATTCACGTCATCGAAGGAGGAACTCAACAAAGTTTTTCCTGGCATTGATCAAAATTAAAAACATCTTGATTTAATGGGTAAACAGGCAATACTAACAGCGAAGAAAAAAAAGGACGTTGATATTTTGAATTTTATTATTCAAAGTCAAATCGGAGGAGAACTGCATTCATACAAATCCGTCGACGGATCAAATTGCGGAATCATCCGAACAACGTAATTCAAGCAACGATTATCAAGGGCAAAGGAAAGGAAGTCCTATTTCCACGAATTCCAATTATTCAATTTATGTGAATTTCGTTCCCAGTTCGGTTGGGTTTTGCGATGACAATCAATAAATCGCAAGGCCAATTTTTGGAAGGGCGAGACAAAGTACGTTATACCGTTTCAGGTATTTATAATATGTATTAGTCAGAAGCTTAAAACGCAGTGAAGGAGACATTTCCGAAACTATAAAGAATATATATATATATGTATATAATTGACCAGCATCAACAGACAAGTCGATCTAGCCATGTCCGTCTGTCCGCCCGTTTGTTCGTTTTTACCCAAACTAGTTGTTAAAGCTTTCTGAATGAAACTTTGAATTTAGTATTCTATATACTTTCTCTTGTACATAAGTCGTAACGGGTCGAATAGGACAACTGTATATATAGGTGCCAGCGAACAAACGAAAAATTTTTAGAAATAAATGTATAACCCTTCCAGTTCTCAACATATTTTCACCTAATTTAAGATATAGCAATTTCGTATTCTTGAATTTGGGTTTAAATTTTATGAAATTCAGGCTTTTATATCATAAATTAATGCATCAGAAATGATTATTTTGAACTATTATATAAAATAGCTGCCATGGGAATTTTCGGGAAATTAATAAAAAAAGAAAGGAAGCTAACTTTGGCACGCCGAAGTTTATATACCTTTTTCGAAAGAATTTCGATGACTAGGAATTAATACAATATAAATTATATATACTTCTGTTGAAAAACAATGAAGTAATGCCTGCATTCATTTCTTTAACCTATACATATTATATTTACAGTTTTAAATTCACAGTTTTGAATTTTCCTTTATATCTAACGATTGTTTGTATGAAAGCTATGTGATATAGTAGTCCGATTTTCAAAAACTTTTATACAAAATTGTAAAATAATATAAAAAGGCTGTATCTTAAATTTGATCGAATTCTGTTGAAAACTGAAAATGTTATAGTTGTTTTGTAAGAATTTTTCGATTGTTCCTATGGAAGCTATATTGTATAGGCATTCCCCATTTTTTTGTAATATAAATAATTATATTAATATTGTATTAGTTATTAACGATCGAATTGGAATTAATCTATATATGTATATTAAGAAAATGGCAATGCTCTGGCTAACTTACGTAAGTAATTTATTTAAGCACTGGTTAAGCATTATATATTATTTGGTTCCTTCGTTCCACCCTTGTTCTTTATTAACTCAAAAATATACAATCATAATATATTTCAAATTCATTTGATGAAATTGTTGACCAGACTTTTTAAATTGATTCAACTACGTGTACTTTCCTGAACAAGAGTCTTTAAATGTTCTTCATAATACAGGGTGCGGCACGAAAACTTGCTGATTTTAGAAGGTTATAAAAAAAAAGTAGTTGACATACCATTCCAAATTTTTTTTATTCTTGTAACACACCTTCTGAAGTTTTTATTACACACTTTTGAAGATTACATCGGACAAGTGATGACCGCCGTTTTCAATGCACTGAGATACCCGATTTTCGAAGCTCAGCTGAACTCTCAAGCATATCGACGGAATTTTTTGCGATTGCTTGCCGAATGTTATTTTCCGATGAGCTGGATGGGATTTTGTCACATTCCCGCTCTCCCTGAATGTTTTCACCCACGAAACAATCGACTGCCTGCCAGGAACGCGACCTGCAGGATGAATGTTGAGTTGAGTGGCAATAACGGAACGACCGTTGGAAAAGTAAGCCTCGCAGGCAAATGCGCGCTGCTCTTTCGTCCAATGCATGATGTCGACTGACTGAAGAGTAGACGAAACTTCAGGAAGTCCCCTAAAACATGAGATACTCCCCACCCTTACCCGACCACTCCCCGCCGCTTGGCGCCAAAAACAAATCAGCAAGTTTTCGTGCCGCACCCTGTATTAATGTTATCAGAATAATGCAGTATGGATGGGAGCACTGTCATGTTGCTACGTCCATGGATTGTGACACACATCTCAAAAAGCTGACGAAAAGCCTTTTGGAGCACAGTCTGGAAAATATTTGCCATCATCTTTGAGATGACAACCTGGAACTCGCATCTTATATAAAAAGATATGGCTCCCCACACTACACCATAACTCCGCCTGCACAAGTATGGTGACGACTTTGAATACATACTTTCTTTTGCACATCTTGGGAATAGTAATTATAGCCACAGTTTCCCACTCCTTGTTCTACGCCATTTGTGCTTGGGTAAATAGAAGTCTTGCTTTCATACGAGCATCATTGAGAGTGGTTTTTATTTTATCTACACCGTTCTTCCCTAATTTTACCAACAAACGGTTAGCATTTGAGGTAGTTCGAGGGCAAGTCTCCAATGCTGTTATTGCATCACTCACAACGTTTTACCTTCGATTGATTCTTAAAACGCTTTTATTAGTTCGTGATGTATGTATGTATGTAACGAAATCTTCGAACACTATTTTCAAGAGTTTCTAAACATCTGATAAGCTTGAAACTTTGCATACTTTTCAAGGACCGATGACAATGCAATAATGTGATAACAAATTTTCCATATCCTTATTAGAATCGTCAGGATTGATAAATTATTTTTTTATAGATCCTCCGTAAGGGAGTAAGAGAGACAGAGCTAGTGCGCGATCTGCGCATGCCTGCTGGACAAGCTTATTTAGCACTTAGTCGTGTAAGAACCTTAGACGGTATTCGCATTGAGGAACTTGATTACTCAAAGTTAACAGGAAAAACACCATGCAACAAAGAGGCCTTAAATGAAATAATGAGATTAGGAAATTGTTCGTAAGATATTTCATAATTATGTACATGTTTGCAAAAATTGATTATTGATAAATCGAAAAATCCGAAAAATAACTGATAGTTTAGAAAATTAAGAAAACTCGCGTTTATAGGTACACACACTAAAAAATAGAAAATAAATAATAGTTTAAAAAACTAAAAAACACGCTTTTATAAATAACCGAACTGAAAAGAAGAAAATAATTTATAATTACAAACAAAAGTATTAAATTCAGAGTTAAAAGCGTGGGGTGTAGAATTTTTCTATATTTTCATAATTCTCCCCTTACAGATGCACCCCACGCTTTTAACTCTGAATTTAGTGATCTTGTTTATAATTATATACCATTACTCTGAATTTAATAATTTTGTTAGTAATTATAAATGATTTTCTTCTTTATAGTTAGTTCGGTTATTGATAAAAGCGTGTTTTTTTAAGCTTTTTTTTTAACTATTATTTATTTTTAGTTATTTTAGAGTATTTTAAACCAGATTAAATAAAGCTTATTATTTTACCTTTTTCAAAATTGATTAAAGATTTTCTGCGTCCCATTTTACAAAAAACTTATAACATTTACTTTATATTTTTGAATAGAAAAAAATAAATCTTTTCGTATTTGGAAGATTTTACGATAAAGGCAAAATTCTGAGTATACGTTGCATTTGTCCCTTGCAGGGTATAATAATTTTAATCAGAAGTTTGCAACGCAATGAAGGAATCACCGCCGACCATATAAAGTACATATATTCTTGATCAGGATCAACAGCCGATCCGATCTTGACATGTCCGTCTGTCCGTCTGTCCGTTTGTGCTTTTCTACGCAAACTAGTCCTTCAGTTTTTTAGCTATCTGAATGAAACTTTGTAGTTAGTCTTCTATATAGTCGTATATATGTCGGAACGGGCAGGATCGAAATACTATATCATATAGCTGCCATAGGAATAATACGAAAATTTGTACAAAAAAATTAAAACATTTTCAGTTTTTAACAGAATTTAATGAAATTTGAGATATAGCCTAATTATATTACTTTACAATTTTGTGTAAAATTTCATGAAAATCGGACTACCATACAGCTCCCATAGGAACGATCGAGAAATAAATACAATTAAATTAAATTAAATTAAAATATAACTTTGAACTTTAATTTGAAATTTATATTGATTTTTATTGTGATATACTAGGTAAAGAAAACGTTTAAAATAAAAAGAAAATATGAGAGTAAATTCAATTGAAACAAAAAAACCTGGTTTAACCTATTTAGTTGAGTTGACTGTATATAAATAATCATATTTATTTGATCCATCCAAAACTCATATTTAGTTTTGATTTAGTTTGCTTATTATTAATATATTTTTTTTATTTCAGAGGTCGAGGGCCACTAAAAACTACAATGGATGTTATCAACGCAGCTAAAAAAATTTCAGAAGCTGGTACAAAATTGGATAAATTAACTAGAGAAATAGCGGAACAGTGCCCTGAAAGTAGTACCAAGAAGGACTTGTTAGCTTATCTGCAAAGGATTGCCCTATATTGTCATCAAATTCAAATAACTTCCAAAGTGAAAGCTGACGTACAAAATATAAGTGGCGAACTTATAGTTTCTGGGGTAAGAATTAAATGAAAATTGGTATAATTAGTACGTTAAATATTACCATTTTTTATAGCTGGATAGTGCCACATCGTTGATTCAAGCAGCTAAAAATCTAATGAATGCCGTTGTGCTTACTGTTAAATACTCATATGTGGCATCCACAAAATACACTAGGCAAGGAACTGTTTCTGTAAGTTTATGGTACACAACGGAACATTACAATACATTTATAAATAAAAAACATTTTTTTTTCAGTCTCCGATCGTTGTATGGAAAATGAAAGCTCCAGAGAAGAAACCTTTGGTCAGACCGGAAAAACCTGAAGAAGTTCGGGCAAAAGTACGTAAGGGCTCTCAAAAAAAGTTCAGAACCCTATACATGCCTTGTCAGAATTCCAAAGTCCAGCTGATGCCGTATAGGAATATATTTAATATTTTACAAAATGAGAAATACCTATTTTATCATAATTCAGTAGTGTAGTATATCCCATATTCAGCTTTTCTTAACATTCAATAAAATATATACAATATAGTATGCTTCATAAATTAATAAAATTACTTTGAATTTGTTTGTTGAATTAATGTAATGGACGTTAGTGGAAGATCCATTCCACCCTTCCACGTTCGATGGGAAGAACAATATACGACTCCTAACGAAAATAGATCAGATCTGTCACCTAAAGAATTCTGTTGCCTGTTCTGTTGTAAGAAAGGTAATTTTTGTACCTCTACAGGGTACTATAATTTTAGGCAGGAGTTCGCAACGCACTGGAGTCATTTGTGAAATTAAAGGACGAATTAGAGACATCAGAAAAGGAAGAAAGAAAATTTTAATCAAATCACACTAGACCAAACAATGGATGGTCGCATTAGAGAGGGTAAATCAAGCACAGGCGGCGGGCACACTAGACTACGTCGCGCCCTATAGAAAGCGAACCACAGACGTATTTCGACAATCAGCCGTTGACAGCGATTGGATAAGGCTAGCCTCCAGTAGTCAACAGCGAAGCCATCTCAGGTCGGACAATCATTCGATTTGGTTCGCTGTAGTTTCCTGTAGTTCTCCGCCTAACTCCGCCGGACGACTATCGGGTCACGGCATACAGCTCGGCTTCGCTAGTCTCCCTCGGTTGACTTTGGAGTCCAACAACAACTCTCTGTGTTGACTTTCGAGTCCAACAACAGTACCAACTTCTCTCGTGCATGACTGCTCTAGGGGATGACCTGCGTGTCCGTAGCCGGCACCAGGACCCGAGACCGATCGGAGCCATTCTTCTCCCATCGGTACGTCACGACGACCAGAGCCAACACCGACGAGCAAGCAGCCGAAGCACTCGCACTTCACATACTTTTTTTTGTAGCAACTACGATCAAGAAAGTTAAGTAAGACAGGCTTTACGTCATAAATCCACAGAGTTTTTCTTGGGATATCGGGTAGAGATCTCTTACACCAATCACGCCTGGAGCAAATAAATTCATGATAGGGACCCTGGCCGTCCCTGAGGTAGCCGAAGAACGACACACCGTCACACTTTTTTAAAGCTATCTGAATGAACCTGCATTTAGTATTTAATATACTTTTTGTAGTATATACATAAGTCGGAATCGGATCGGAATCAGCCGGATCGGACAACTTTATTATATAGCTGCCATAAGCGGTACAGCTTTAATCATTATTCGTTAAGAATGGTCATTAATTAGATAACTTGGGGTTAAGTGACACTTGTCACCCCATGAAAGGATAGGGTAATGGGATGAATGGGGTGAGAACACGTGAGAATCATGAGTGGAAGCTCTACCGCCACAAAGACGCACTCGTTACGGGAACGAGTGCGAATGCGAGGGACCAATATGGAATCCTTTTCGATCCGCGATCAATTATCTTTCCACAATCGAATTAAAGGGAGGGTGCACTTATGACCGTTCAAGAAGAAACTCTGTGCACTTCTTCGATGACACAATACATTGCAGAGGGAGGAATGAAAAGGTCACCGTCAGCAGAGATTTTTATTGATGATAAAAAAACAGACTCCTGTGTAATCCCCTAACACCAATTTGGCACTTAGCTATCCGGATTTTGTTTTTGTATAGACCTGGAGATTTTTACGTGGTTTCGAAGTCCTTGAAGATCAAGGTGTTTTTGGCGAAGGCAAGTAGTTCTCTTGGAGGCATCTTCTAGTGATGCCAGTAGTACGGCCGCTAGGTATCTTCTTCATCCTCGAGTTATTGACGGACACCTGAAGATGAGATGTTCCAAGGTTTCAGTTGCCTCGGATTCATCGCACCTCCATTTGTTGTTTGTTACAGTTGCCATTTTCGGTTATGCCTAGCCTGACTGAATGTGCCGCAGCTAGGTAGAGTCCCGTAAGAATTCCCACTAGCGTTCTGCAGGCACTCCGTCGTAGACGCAGCACGTAGTGGCTGGAATATGCTGCATTGGCTGGGTATTTCTTATGCCGTATCTCAGGGTCTGTGCAGTATATGGTATTGAGTATGGTCCTGAGCCGTTTTTCAGTCCTGGGGTCCCATGAATGTTGTTGTTTTGACATCCGGGCAGGTTCTAGTTATCATATAGTCAGATATACTCCTCTTGTCACGACAAACTGAACTGTGCCCGAGTTCTTGGAGCGAAATATTCTCTGATGTTACTAGGCATTGTGCAGCCTTCCCAGCAGTCAGTTGCGCGTAAATATCTAGGTTATCAATATCCATTATGGTTTTGAGAGCCTTTGTGAGGATTGACCTCAGCGCCTCTGATATGCAGAGCAGTGTCTACCGCTGGGTTCTCTCCACAACCTTGTTATATGTTTTCTTTTCCATGGATTTCCACCACACCAAGACTCCATACAACAGTGTCGAATGCACCACCGATATGTAGACCCAGTGCATCAGAGCGGGCAAGAATCGCGCTGAGGGTCGATTGACAGACACCTGTTATAATTACGTTTTTGTCTTCAGCATATGTCTACAGTACAGACTTCGAGTACATATTCCTTATTGTGCAGGGCTCTCTCAATGGTGGCTACTAACGAATGTAGCGCCATCTCCACTGACACTGGTTGGATGTCAGAAGTCTACCCACATCGTTTCTGATGTATAGGTTCAACAGCTTTTCTAGCGTCTAGCGCCTGTAGTCCTTGGGACTAATGTGGATGCTCGTTTCTGCTTTAGGCTGGAAGGCAATCCGCCAGGTCCTCCGTTGGCTGGGGATATAGCCCGTTCTTAGACAAGCTTTGTAGATTGTGTTTAGCCATGGAGTAATGACTTCTTTGGCTGGAAATACTTCGTCTAGTCCTGAAGCTTTTATGCCCGCGAAGGAGTCTATAGTATACTTCTGCATGAATGCATCTAAAATGGCAAATGAATCACTTAGTCTAAAGGTGGGCACACTTTTTTTTCTGCACAGTGTATTTGGGTGTGAGTGAGTAGGGTAGTATTGTCGGTTTCGATTGACAGTGTTCTCACTCATTTTATAGTTGTACAGCTGTTGATGAGTGCAGCGAAATTGGTGTACAGTAGTCAAGGCACTGTACAGAGTTTCGGTGTACATTTGACTTACGGTACAGTGAGTGAAACTTCATGACTGGTACAAACACACATATAGAGTTCTCGTGTGTATGTATGTCTTAGAAAGAATACGATTAAAAAATTGATTTGTATTTTCGTTTTAAATGTATTTTTATTATAAAATAAAGAAATTAGAATTTTATATTTAAATTATTAATATTGAAATGGAGAAACATTATTTTATTTACCCAGTCTTCAGTGGTGGCAATTTTTGATCGTTTTTCGCAAATTACATTTTTGGCAACAGAAAATGGAGCTGCTAGTATCTTGCAGCTAATTTTATAAAGTAAAGGAAAACGGTCTTTATTAATTGACCACCACTGCAGAACATCAAAATCTTCACTGTACGCTTTATTTAAATTTTTATATGTTTGAAGTTCATTCTGAATATATTGCAAAATATTAATGCTCTGAACAGGTTCCGAATAATCTGAAAATATATTATCTATGTCTTGCAGATTTAATTAATTTTTCTATATCATCATTTTGGCTATTCATATGAATACTAATCAATATTTTTTCTACGTATTTAAAAGTTTGTTCCCTTTCTAAATTTGAGAATTTAGTTAATTTATTAGTGGGTGGAAACAAAATTAGGGCAATATTGTGATATTTTTTTTTTTCAAATTTTCTATTACTATTGAGTCTATGTACTCTTAAAGTGAAAGTTTCCATTTTTTAACTATTTCTATGTCATTTTCATTAGGTGAGGATATTTTTTTTAGGTTATTAATATGTGGAACAGTCAAGTGCAATGTTGGATAATTACTACCCTCCAGATTTTTGGAGCAACATTCAAAAGGGGCAATAAGGTTGACCATTCCGCTAATATTAATTAAATTTATATCTGTAATTCTTGGTAATTAATTTTTCTCCACCAAAATCTGCGAAATTTCCATCCAATTTAGCATAACAGACTTCAAAATGTTAAATATTGTATTCCAACGAGTTAGACAGTAGCTTTTTAGGGTGCTTGTTAAGTTCCGGTTTTTCCAGATTTTTAAAAATACTTAACAAGCTTGCTGCATCGATTAACCATATCCAGCAATTCTGGTACTTCATTCACAAGTTTGCCAATCACATTGTGGATCAAATGATTTGCACAGTGTATTGTGCTTAGTCCGTTGAATGCTGCTTTCATATAAGCTCCTCGGTCGCTTACAATTATTGGATCGTCCATCAGTAAATCACATCCAAAGTCACGTAAGATTCGCACTATTTTGTTTTTTATTTCATTACCTAAAAGATTTTGATAATCTATATATATAAAAATGCTCTGTTCGTGTCTACTTCCTTCATAGACTTCAAAAGTTCTGAACCGTTTAAGGCCAAATTTTGGCACAACATGCGTTGAGGTTCCAGCTCGGTTATTGTCTACTTTTGATGTTGATAGCTTTTCTGCGTTTGCGAATATATCAATTTTTTTAGCGTTTCCCCGTGCCCCTACTGCTGCGCCCTCTACAGGCAGCCAGCTGAATCGAAGCATTTCCTGTCAAACATCCCAAAAATATTGAAACAAGAAATAGGAGATTAAAATTTTATATTTTTGTTCAGTTTCAGTCGAGAAGTCGAGTTTGGGTCGTCGTACTCGCAATACAGAAGCAAACAGACGTAAGATTACGAATATGACTGACGAAGAGCGGTCCTCCATCCGAGAGACTGAGCGGCTGAGAGCAATGCAGATGCACAACGCGGAATCAGCAGAAAGACGAGCTGATAGGCTTAAGAGAAAACGATTGAGAGTTAGGCAGTCGTGTTCTGCAGCAATCGATTTGATTCACTCTCAAAATAATGAACGCGACAGGGCAAGGGTAGCTGAAGCGCGTTTTCAGCTTGCAGAAGATCAAAACCTGCAATACAATCGTCTTGCATTCAGATATAATCCAACTATTGATTACAGCTCGAATCGCAATGTCGTTATTGGCCGGATGCATCAGGTCTGCATATACTGTCAGGCTCCTCCGA